GTGGGCTTGAAATGGCTGGAAAAGCCAGGCAAGCAGCTGCAGGTGGGTCTGGAATGAGGTGGGATAACACGGAGTGACTGCAGGCACTGTTGGAAAAGCAGGGATGGCGTTCCCTCCAGGGAATTTGGATTTCAGAGCTCCTGACACCCAGCAAAGGCTCTGCAGCTCCATCACCCTCCAAGAAATCCTCTAAAATCTGCAGTGGACGTGGAAAACAGCAAAAAAGGAATTTTAACGAGGGAGGGATGGAATTCTGGTGTTGCCAGAAGGATTAACCCCTTCCTGCCTGTCTCCCTCCTCCTTATCACAACTCTCCCACCATTCAACCTCCCCAAAACACTGTAGGGTTTGGGTTGGAAAGGCCTTTAAAGATCATTTTTCTGTTCAAATATTGAACTTCTCCTAAGGACAGAGCGGGATGGTCTGGGTGAGAAGGTGCTGACTGCTCAGAGGTTGGGCTTAATGAGCTTGGAGGACTTTTGCACAGCTTTAGTGTAATTAATTCTGTGTTCCTGACCTTGTTGTGTCTTGGCAATAAATTTTCCCAGCTCTCAGAGGTCAAGCACTGCCCCTTCCCAGCAGGAAAAGGATGGAAGAGCCCAGGGGTGGGAAGAGGTGTGACATAACCCTCCAGACACGAGCTGTGATGGGAAAGGATCTGTCTGAGCACATCCCTATGGAATGGCAGAGTGACTTATGGCCATGGAAAATTTCATCCTATCCCGCTTATCTGCAGCTTTTCCAAACTGGGAAGCGGAGCTGTGCCGGCGTCCAATGAAAACAAGCTCAGCTCAAGGGTTATCAAATTGCTCCTGAAGGAGTGGGGGCTCCCTGGGGGGCAGAGCTGAGCCAGCCAGGCCAGATTTGGGCAAAACGTCCCCAGGCAGGGCCCTGTCACCGTGGGGTCACCGGTGGATTCCCACCCCTGCTTTTCCATGCTCCCAGCACTTCCCAGCCCCAGGGAACTGGCACCAAAGGGGCTTTAAGTCTTTCTAAATTATGAGGAAAAGCTGGGGGAATTGGGATGGTTCAGAAGTTTTGGGGTGACCTCGTTGTGGCCTTCAGTGCCTGAAGGAGCTACAGACACATGGAGAGGGATTTGGGGCAGGACGCAGGGAATGGCTTCCCACTGGAAAAGGGAGATTTAAGTGAGGTGTAGGGAAGGAAACCCTGCTCTGAGGGTGGTGAGGGGCTGGGATGGAGCTCCCAGAGGAGCTGTGGCTGCCCCTGGAATGCCCAAGACCACCTTCAAGGTGAAGAAACATTTCCCAGTATCCAACTAAAGCTCCCCATGCCCAGCTCCAGCTGTTCCCTTGGGTCACAGGCACCAAAATCGGCCCTCACTGCTGTTATCCATAGGCTGTGCACAGTCACATCCATCTGGGAATCACAACCAGGGTGGGAATGCAGAATCCAACACCCAAGCTGGGTTTAGCACCTCCAGGCAGGCTGGTTTTAGTAAAGCCTGGTCTGAACAGCAGCTGAAGGACAAACTGACTAATCTCTTCCCTGGGAGTCCCGGTGGGATTGTGCTGGTGGGTTTTGCTCTGTCAGTGCAAAAGCTGATGGAGAGTCCTGACCACAGCAGAGCTCAGAGGAAATTCCAGCCCCCTCACCCCTCATTCCAAAGAGAAAACATCACTGGGACAAGCTCCGGGCTCCAGCGGGAACCCAGGAGCTCACAAATGATGATGTTTCCCCTGGTGAATGCAAGGAATGACCTGCAGAACTCCCAGGCGTGTTGGGAAGGGCAAAAACTTCCAAACTCTCCTTCACAGGAGGCTTTGGAGTCCCCCTAGGTCAGGTTTGTGTCCCCCTGGGTCACCCTGCTCCTCGTTTTTGGCTCCAGCTGTGTCCCACTGGCTGCTGAGGAGATAAAGCAAAGATGAGAGTGGCAAAACTCAGAGGGGGAAGGAGCTGGAACGTTTGACAGCCGGTTGTGACTGCAAGGAGCTGCCCCGATGGCATCCCAACCATCCCAGCTCCTCACCTCCAGCCTTGGTGCTGCTGCGGGGAAAGCCCTGCAGCTCCAGGGATTTTATTTTGTAGGGAGAGAGGAAAAATCAGCTGGGTTGTGCAGAATGGAAGCGGTGGTGCTGGGGGAAGGTTCATGAAATTCAGGGAGAGACAGAATTTGGGAGGGAAAGGAGCTCAGAATCATTCCGGGAGAGACAGAATCCTGGAATGGTTTGGGAGGGAAAGGAGCTCAGAATCATTCCGGGAGAGACAGAATCCTGGAATGGTTTGGGTGGGAGAAGAACTTAAAATTATTCAGGGAGATAAAGAATCCTGGAATGATTTGAGTGGGAAAGGAGCTCAAAATCATCCAGTGCCACCCCTGCCGTGGGCAGGGACAACTCCCAGGTTGCTCCAACCTGGTTTTGGACACTTCCAAGGATCCAGGGGCAGACACAGGTTCTCTGGAATTCCGTTCCAGCCCCTCCCCATGCTCACAGGGAAGGTTTTCCCCCTGATTTCTGATTTTAACCTGCTCTCTGTGTCAGTTTGAGGCAGGCAGGGATGAGCAGGGGCGCAAGAGCCTCTGCCCAGGAAATGCAGCACTTCCACCCCACTCAGAGCAGCTCCTTAAAAATAACCCCACTTCTCCCTTTCCCATCCCTCCTCCTGCTGATGGATCCAGGCTTCTGCTCCAGGAATCACTTCAGTCTCATGGTTCATGTGGAGTTTCAGCACCCCCAGAGCAGCAGCCGAGCTCATGCCCAATTTCCCGAGGAGTTCCGCTCATCCAGCCCCGGGCTGAGCTCATGGAAAGGCAGAGCCCTCCAAAGCTTCTGTGACTAATTCCTGGAGCAGCTCGGAGGGAGGTGGCCTCTGTCTAGACTAAAGCAGATTTTCTTCCAGGTGTTTTGAGGACTCTCTGTGGCTTCAGAGGAGCCAAAGCCACCGCTGGTGTTCCACGGTCCCGCCTCATTCCCCGGGACACAAGGGAGCCATTGATGGAGCAGCTGGGGATGATCCCTCCCGGGGCAGGGGAAGCGAGGTCAGGGCCAGCAGAGGAACTGAATCCCTCGGATCCTGGAGCTGCAGCCCTTCCCTGCCTGCTCACCCCGTTCCAGCTCAGGGACAAACCCAAGGGTTCATCCTGGGAGCCCCTCTGGGATGTGCAGCGCGTCCTGGGTTTGCCTGGATGCTCAGAAGGAGCTCTGGAAACCCTTACAAGGGGGTTGTTCCATACATTTGGGCCAAGGGCAGCCAGGGAATAGAGACAGTGAAAAATCCAAGAAAAGGGAGGTGCCTGAGGCACCACAAACTCCCCAAGCTGAGGAACTAGAGGAAAAAAAAATCCCTTTTCTCCTGTGAGAAGAGCTCATGCCAGCTCCCTTCCAGCCCAGCATTCCCACATTTCTTTGTCCTGCAGAAATCCCACTGGGATGTGCTCCGAGCCCTTTGGTTCTGTCATTGCCTCCCAGTCTGCCCCAGGGAGAGCCCAGAACCTTCCCCACGACTTCCTCACTTCCAGCCCTAATCCCACATTCCCACAAATATTCCCCTATTTTTGTTATGGCTTCTCCATCATTGCTCATCCAAAGTACACAAAAATATCTTTATGTCTTCCCCATAAATCCAGCATGGCTGTAGGAATTATTCCACCCCAAATCCAACCCTTCCTGCTGCCCCCATTATCCCAGAGAGCTCCAACCTGGTCCCAGCATTAAAAGAGGAGAGAAAATTCAGGATTTTGGTCCATTAGAACCAAAAAAGTCAGGAAGTTCTGTGAGCACAACACAGATTTTGTCTCTCTAAATTCATTCTTTGAAATATGAACAGAACAGGTTTCAATTTTGAAAAATTGATTGAGGAACTGGAATAATTTATAAAAAATTATATATATATATAAATTATTTTTAAAAATCTCTGATTGTTTCAAATTCTTATTATTTATCTGAAAATGTGAAAGAAAAGTGAGATAAACTTGGGATAAATTGATAATTTCTGTCAGTCCCAGCCATCCCAGTCCACAGGATGCTCCAGATCAGCATTTTTACCCCATTTAGCTCCATTTGATTAATCAAGGGCACATTTTGTCTCTAAATTCATCCTTTGAAACATCAAAAGATCAGGTTTCAATTTTGAAAAATTGATTGGGGAACCAGAATAATTTCTAGTAAAAAGTTTCAAATTCTTCTTGCTTATCTGACTTTCTGAAGTTGGAACCTGAATTTTGCCTCTCCAGCCAGGAGCAGCCAAGAGTTTGCTTTAACCCCAGAGATGGGATCAATATGGGATAAATTGATCATGTGAATAAATATGGGATAAACATGAGATAAACTCATAGTGGGAATAAATATGGAATAAATTGATCATGTGGATAAATATGTGGGATAAACATGAGGTAAATTCATAATGGGAATAAATGTGGGATAAATTGATAATGTGGGATAAATTAATAATGAATATGAATAATGAATAAATATGGGATAAATTGATAAGGGGAATAAATAGGTGGGATAAATTGATAAGGTGAATAAATATGGAATAAATTGATAAGGTGAATAAATATGGGATAAATTGATAATGGGAATAAATAGGTGGGATAAATATGGGATAAATTGATAAGATGAATAAATAAGTGGGATAAATATGGGATAAATTGATTATGGGAATAAATAAGTGGGATAAATATGGGATAAATTAATAATGTGGGATAAATACGGGATAAATTGATCATGTGCGATAAATATAGGATAAGTTGATAATGGAAATAATGTAGGATAAATTGGTAAGGTGAATACATATGGGATAAGTTGATAATGGAAATAATGTAGGATAAATTGGTAAGGTGAATACATATGGGATAAGTTGAAAATGGGAATAAATATGGGATAAATTGATAATATGAATATATATGTGATAAACATGGGATAAATTAATAATATGAACAAACATGCAGGATAAACCTGTGATAAATGAACAACTTCCATCACCTCCAACCACCCCTCTCCCAGCACACCCCGGATCATCATTTTTACCCCGATTACCTCAATTTGATTGATGAGGGAGTTGTCAAACTTGAAGCCGGGGATCCTCTTCTCGCTGCACAGCACGCCCACGTCCTCGCTGTGCTTGCAGTCGCTGACGCCCCAGCCGTTGGAGCCGCAGGCGGCCAGGCTGCTCTCCCTGCCCGTGCAGTGCACGTTGTCCAGCCAGATCTTCCCTGCAAAAGGGGCAAACAGCTGAGGTTCCAGGAGGAGGCGTTCCTGAATCCTTCCAGACTCCCTGGATCTGGATTCCAGGGAAGTGCTGGGTCCCACTCTCGGTGCGGAAATCAAGGTGTGAAACTTTGGTGTGAAAATGAAGTGGCAGCACCTCAAGGACTGATGGAGTGGGAAAAGCTCTGGGCCATGGATTTTCCTGTCTTTTATCCATTTGGGAATAAAGATCCGCCTCCAGCCTGGGCTGCTCCAGGGATACTGATGAAAATTCTCAGTGGGAAAAACCAAGGTGCAAAAATGAAAATGAATAAAGCAGCACCTCAAGCAGTGCAGGTTGCCAGCCAGATTTTCCCCGGAATGGGAAGAACCCCAGCTGAGATTCCAAGAGGAGGGATCTGAGCTGGATTCCCTGAACCTGGATTCCAGGGAAGTGCTGGGTCTCATTCTCAGTGTGAAAATCAAGGTGTGAAACCTTGGTGTGAAAATGAAGTGGCAACACCTCAAGGACTGAAGGATTGGGAGAAGCTCTGGGCCATGGATTTTCCCATCCTTTATCCATTTGGGAATAAAGATCCGCCTCCAGCCTGGGCTGCTCCAGGGATACTGATGAAAATTCTCAGTGGGAAAATCAAGGTGTGAAACCTTGGTGTGAAAATGAAGTGGCAGCACCTCAAGGACTGATGGAGTGGGAAAAGCTCTGGGCCATGGATTTTCCTGTCTTTTATCCATTTGGGAATAAAGATCCGCCTCCAGCCTGGGCTGCTCCAGGGATACTGATGAAAATTCTCAGTGGGAAAAACCAAGGTGCAAAAATGAAAATGAATAAAGCAGCACCTCAAGCAGTGCAGGTTGCCAGCCAGATTTTCCCCGGAATGGGAAGAACCCCAGCTGAGATTCCAAGAGGAGGGATCTGGGCTGGATTCCCTGAACCTGGATTCCAGGGAAGTGCTGGGTCTCAGTCTCGGTGTGAAAATCAAGGTGTGAAATCTTGGTGTGAAAATGAAGCAGCACCTCAAGGACGGATGGATTGGGAAAAGCTCTGGGACACAGATTTTCCTGTCTTTTATGCATTTGGGAATAAAAATCCCCCTCCAGCCTGGGCTGCTCCAGGGATACTGATGAAAATTCTCAGTGGGAAAAATCAAGGTTGAAAATGAAAAAATTAATAAAGCAACACTGCAAGCAGTGCAGGTTGTCCAGCCAAAGTTTCCCTGGAAAAGGAGGAAAACACAACTGAGATTCCAAGAGGAGGGACCTGAGCTGGATTCCCTGAACCTGGATTCCAGGGAAGTGCTGGGTCTCACTCTCAGTGTGAAAATCAAGGTGTGAAATCTTGGTGTGAAAATAACGCAGCACCTCAAGGACTGATGGACTGGGAAAAGCTCTGGCCCAGGGATTTTCCCATCCTTTATCCATTTGGGAATAAAAATCCACCTCCAGCCTGGGCTGCTCCAGGGATCAGTGATGGAAATTCCGATTCAAATCCCTCCATGCCCCAATTTATCGATTAGGCCCTGCCCTCCAATCACCCTCAAATCATTCCTGATTTATCAAATCCACATTAAATCTGGGACTGCTTAAACACCTTAAAATGAGGTTTTTAAATCTCTTTCTCAAGCTGTCATTGGTGTTTGGGGGTTCATGGAAAATGGAAATTCCACCTCCAGGTTCCACCCGGGAATTCCCATTTTTCCTGGGTGTGTTTTCACAGGCATATATATTATATAAAAAAATAGATATTATATATAGCTCTAATATTTTAAAATATTAAATAAATTAATTCTCTTTAAATTGTTAAACTATTAAAGAAATTATTTAAATGTTAATTAAAGGAACTCAAAATGAAATTAAATATTTATTTTAAATGTTAAAACATTAAATTAATAGATTTATTCAATTATATATAATTGTGTTTTATTGACATAATTATATATTCATTAAATAGTGAAGAAATCTATTTATTTAAAATCTATTTATTTAAAATATTAAGCCAATATTCATCTTATATTCTATTAATTAAATTATTATTATATGTTATTAACATTATATGTTTTAGTAATTAAATTACTGATATGGTCACAAAATATTAATAATCACTAATAATAAAGACATATGTTTAAAATATGAAATTCACATTAATTTATTCTATATTAAATTAAATTAATATATTAAATTATATATAATATAATACGTATTATATTATATATGTAATATATTGCATTATATATGTAATATATAATATGTTAATATAATATAATATAATATAATATTATATTATATTATATTATATTAACATATTATATATTACATATATAATGCAATATATTACATATATAATATAATACGTATTATATTATATATGTAATATATTGCATTATATATGTAATATATAATATGTTAATATAATATAATATAATATAATATAATATAATAATTCAAACTATTAAAGCAATAAACTAATGCAAAAACCAGGTTCTGCAGAGAACCAGAGTGGGAGGAGCGCCCAGCCCCGGCTTTGGGATTTCCCTGGGAATTCTCCCTCCCGTGACCCCGTGGCCAGCCCGGTTTGTTTTCCGCTGTCACGGCCTCTTCCTCGCTTGGAAATCTCCTGCTCTGCCTCCGCAGCCAAAATCCACAACTCCGGGAGCACGTTCCAGCTTTGCCATTTCCCTCGGCCCCGCTCGCTCTTTTACGGGACATTTATTGGTGTGAGCACTCAAACCCTGCTCAAATCCACCCAGACAGCACCTTCGGCCCTCCCGGCTGGAATTTATCCCTGCGGGATCCACCAGGCTCCAGGAGGGCAGGAAAACCCTCAGCAGGACAGGATTCAATCCCAATAAATCCCAATAAATCCCAATAAATCCCTTGGGGTGTCCCATATTACACAGATCTGTTGTTATTCCTGGATTATTTCAGAGCTTTCCCTCTCAGATTTGGTGATTTCAGGAATTCCCGGCTGTCACACACAAATATTCTCCTTTCCAAGGGTTTGCCCGGCAGATGTTTGGGATTCAGGTGGGATTTTCCACATTTCCACCAGGTGTAAATTCAGAGGGTGAGAAAGGATGTGGAAAATGCATCCCCAGGACAAGGGGAGTGGCTTTAAGGTGAAAGAGGGGAAATTTAGATGGGATTTTGGGAAGAAATTCCTCCCTGGGAGGGTGAGGAGGGGCTGGGATGGAATTCCCAGAGAAGCTGTGGCTGCCCCTGGATCCCTGGAAGAGCCCAAAGCCAGGCTGGAGCAGCCTGGGACAGTGGGAGAGGGGGAACTGGATGATTTTCAGCTCCTTTCCATCCCAAACCATTCCATGATTCCATTGGATAAAATCTGGGATGAGGCTGAACAACTTTTCCCCACCAGAAGCACCCTGAAGGCACCCAAAGTGGATATTCCCATATAATTGTTATTCCCATTTAACCCAATAGTTGTTATTCCCGTATAATCCAATCATTTTTATTCCCATTTAACCCAACAATTGTTATTCCTAAATAATCCAATAACTATTATTCCCATTTAACCCAGTAATTTTTATTCCCATATAATCCAATAATTTTTGTTCCCATATAACCCAATAGTTGTTATTCCCATATAATCGTTATTCCCATATAACCCAATAATTGTTATTCCCGTATAATCCAATAACTGGTATTCCCATATAATCCAATAATTTTTATTCCCATATAACCCAAATGTTATTCCCATATAACCCAATAGTTGTTATTCCTTTTTAACCCAGTAATTGTTATTCTCATTTAACCCAAAAATTGTTATTCCCATATAACCCAATAGTTGTTATTCCCATATAACCCAAATGTTATTCCCATATAACCCAATAGTTGTTATTCCATACAATCATTCCCATAGGATATGAAATGTTCAGACCCCTTTGGAGGCCCAGACCATGACACAGAACTTTTCCCTAAAATCCAACCTAAATTCCCTCAGCACAGCTCCAGCTTTGGCTGGATCCTGTCCAGGGAACAATCAGAGCTGTCCCTGGGCAGGAGCAGATCCCAAAAATTCCCTCTCAGTTTCCTCTTTTCCAAGTGCCCTCAGCTGCTCCAGACCCTTCCCCATCCCTGTGTCCATCCTTTGGATGATTTCCAATAATTTCACACTTTTTTTACCTCTCAGATCCCAAATCCACTCAGCACGGCACGAAACACCTCCAGCTCATCAATGAAACTGAAACTAGGGATTATGGGGAATTGGAACGGCCCTGGGATCCCAATCCAAGGTCCTTCAGCTGCTCCAGAACCTTCCCCATCCCCCTGTCCATCCTTTGGATACTTTCCAACGCTTTAACACCTTTTTACCTCACAGAGCACAGCACGAGAAACCAACACTCAAAACCACCAATGAGACTGGTCATTGATGATCAATACCAAAAATCAGGGATTATTGGGAGATGGAAAGACCCTCTCCCTGCTCCAAGATCTCCTCATCATCTCCTTTGCCGTACCTGGGGTTGGGCAGCCAGGACACGGCCTCCACGTAGCTCCCAGCACGAGAGAGAAACAAACACCCCAGCACCATAAATTGGACTGAAATCAGGATTATTGGGAGATGGAAAGGCCCTCCCAATGCCCTGGGATCCCAAAGCTCCTTCAGCTGCTCCAGAGCCTTCCCCCTCACCATAAATTGGACTGAAATCAGGATTATTGGGAGATGGAAAGGCCCTCCCAATGCCCTGGGATCCCAAAGCTCCTTCAGCTGCTCCAGAACCTTCTCCATCCCATGTCCATCCTTTGAATGCTTTCCAATGCTTTAACACCTTTTTAATCTCACAGAGCTCAGCACGAGAAACCATCAAAACCATCAATGAGACTGGAATCCGGGATTATGGAGAGATGGAAAGACTCTCTCCCTGCTCCAAGATCTCCTCACCTTCTCCTTTGCCGTACTTGGAGCTGGGCAGCCAGGACACGGCCTCCACGTAGCCCAGCTCCCAGCACGAGAAACACCCAAAACCCATCAGTGAGGCTGAAATCAGGAATTGTTGGGAGATGGAAACATTTCCCACACTGCTCCAAGACCTCCTCACCTTCTCCTTTCCTGTACTTGGAGCTGGGCAGCCAGGACACGGCCTCCACGTAGCCCAGCTCCCGGCATGAGAAGCACCCCAACACCACTAATTAACTGAAATCAGGGATTATTAGAAGATGGAAAGACCCTTTTTTCTCCTCCAGGGAGGGCAGCCAGGACACGGCCTCCAGGTAGCTGCCGGCATGAGAGAGAAACACCCCAGCACCGCCAGTTAAACTGAAATCAGGGATTACTGGGAGATGGAAAGACCCTCTCCCTGCTCCAAGACCTCCTCACCTTCTCTTTTCCCGTACTTGGAGCTGGGCAGCCAGGACACGGCCTCCAGGTAGCCCAGCTCCCAGCATGAGAGAGAAACACCCCAACACCACTAATTAACTGAAATTAGGGCTTATTAGAAGGTGGAAAGACCCTTTCCCTGCTCCAAGACCCCCTCACCTTCTCCTTTGCCGTACTTGGAGCTGGGCAGCCAGGACACGGCCTCCAGGTGGCCCAGCTACAAGCATGAGAGAGAAACATCCCAACACCGCCAGTTAAACTGAAATCAGGGATTACTGGGAGATGGAAAGACCCTCTCCCTGCTCCAAGATCTCCTCATCATCTCCTTTGCCGTACCTGGGGTTGGGCAGCCAGGACACGGCCTCCAGGTAGCCCAGCTCCTGGCATGAGAGAGAAACCCCCCAACACCCCTAATTAAACTGAAATTAGGGCTTATTAGAAGATGGAAAGACCCTTTCCCTGCTCCAAGACCTCCTCCCCTTCTCCTTTGCCGTACTTGGAGCTGGGCAGCCAGGACACGGCCTCCACGTAGCCCAGCTCCTGGCATGAGAGAGAAACCCCCCAACACCCCTAATTAAACTGAAATTAGGGCTTATTAGAAGATGGAAAGACCCTTTCCCTGCTCCAAGACCTCCTCCCCTTCTCCTTTGCCGTACTTGGAGCTGGGCAGCCAGGACACGGCCTCCAGGTAGCCCAACTCCCCGCATGAGAGAGAAACACCCCAACACCACTAATTAAACTGAAATTAGGGCCAGGGATTACTGGGAGATGGAAAGGCCCTCCCAATGCCCTGGGATCCCAAAGCTCCTTCAGCTGCTCCAGAGCCTTCCCCCTCCCCATGTCCATCCTTTGGATGCTTTCCAATGCTGTAGCATATTTTTAATCTCACAGAGCTCAGCATGAGAAACCAACACTCAAAACTATCAATGAGACTGGAATCTGGGATTATGGAGAGATGGAAAGACCCTTTCCCTTTTCCAAGACCCCCTCACCTTCTCCTTTGCCGTACTTGGAGCTGGGCAGCCAGGACACGGCCTCCACGTAGCCCAGCTCCCGGCACACCACGTGGGCGGCGTGGATGGAGAAGTCGTCGTCGCACACGGTGCCCCACTCGCCGCTGTAGAACACCTCCACCCTGCCCTCGTTGTGCTTCCTCTTCTGCCCCGCCAGCCTCAGCTGGATTTTGGGCACGTTGGGGGGTCTCGGGGGCGGCTGGAACACCGGGGGGGCTGGCTCGGGGTAGCCGGGCGGGTACGGCCAGTGCTCGTACTGGGCACAGCCCAGCTCGGCCAGCAGCAGCAGCAGCAGGCACTGCTGGGAGGGGAAAACCCGGGAGCTGCCCATTGTCAGTGATCGCAGTCCTCAGAGCCAGAGCCAGGCAGGGCAGGCAGGGCTGGCCTGGAAGAAAATCACATTTTAATTAAAGTTTGGAGTGATACAAAATTGATATGACTTATATCAGTATAGTACTTATATTATTTCATTATTTTTTATTTCAATATGTTAGTATTTTATTGCTTATTGCTTATTATTTTATTTTATTTTTATTTATTCATTATCATATTTATTATTTATATGATTAGTTATTACTCCTATTATTGTCTTGGAAATTTTGATTACCTCCAACACTCCCTGTGAAAACCAAAGTCGGGTCAATTATTTCTTGTGGGGTGCACAAACAAACTGAAACGTCCCTAATTTCTAAGTTTAGACCAACTTGCCACATAATTTTACCCCAAAAATACATTTTCCCCAGGTAAAATTCTCTAAGTTGGGAGGTGTAGCAAATTATTTTCCTGTTTTCCTCCAGAAATCCAGCTGGATTTTCCTGTTTTCCTCCAGAAATCACCCAAATCCTGCCGGGACAGAGCTGAACCCTTTTTTCTCCCCATCAAGAATCCAAACCCATCACGAGCAGTGGAAAACCAGGAGGGTGAGGAAATCTCACCAGCAGTGAGGGATTTATCCCAAACTCTGCGTTCCCAGTGGGATAAAAGATTTATTTCTGTTCCCGCACGTCTGGTTCCATCTGTAGAAACTCAAAACATCACCAGACACTTGGCAGAAGCCTTGGATGACCTTGGAGTAGTGGAAAACATCTCCAGGTTTTGGTTGTAAGTCAGGATGGGGATTTATTGGCATCCAAGTGCTCCACGAGCACAATTTAAGGTAGGAACGGACAACTTCTCGTGACTCGTGGGAGGAATTTCATCCAGGAACTGAATCCTGTGAAATCCTGTCCTTTTCCTGCTTCCCACCCACTGCCAGGCACATGGAGTGGTCAAGCAGGACACGTGGGGGTGAGGATTCCATCATTTCCGAGGGAAGAACTGCCAGAGCTCAGTGGGAAAATCCTCCCCAGGCCTTCAGAGCTCTGTTATTTCCTGGCAGCCACCGGGGGAGAGGAGAAAGGGGGAGGATTTGGCTCCAAAGGAGATGTCTAGGAACTAAAATTCTCCGAAATTTCAACTAAATCAGGTCTATCCCTAAAAAAGGGGATTTATTGGCATCCAAGTGCTCCACGAGCACAATTTAAGGTAGGAACGGACAACTTCTCGTGACTCGTGGGAGGAATTTCATCCAGGAACTGAATCCTGTGAAATCCTGTCCTTTTCCTGCTTCCCACCCACTGCCAGGCACATGGAGTGGTCAAGCAGGACACGTGGGGGTGAGGATTCCATCATTTCCGAGGGAAGAACTGCCAGAGCTCAGTGGGAAAATCCTCCCCAGGCCTTCAGAGCTCTGTTATTTCCTGGCAGCCACCGGGGGAGAGGAGAAAGGGGGAGGATTTGGCTCCAAAGGAGATGTCTAGGAACTAAAATTCTCCGAAATTTCAGCTAAATCTGGTCTATCCCTAAAAAAAATCCCCAAAAAATCACATCCTCACATAAAGATACAAAACCCATGAACAGCCTTTAAAGCTGAGGAGGACATGGATCAGAATTCCAGGTCCTTTCCAGGGCTGTGCCTCAGTTTCCCTGTGGGTTAAACAGGGGTGGGGCTCAGGAGATTTCTGCTGGAGTGAAATGGATTTTCCTAAGGAAGGGAGAAATGAAAGAGGAGCACGGGGATTAAAGCTCAGGGCTGGAGGGGAAACAGGAAAAGTGAGAGGAGGTTTCACAACAGATCTCATAAACCAGGATGGGGCGGGAAAATGAGGGGGGAAAAATCTTGGAAAACAAACGTTGGGTTTCCAGGAGCCAATTTTTTGTGGGTCAGGAGGTGAGGCTGAGAGAGGAATAAAATCACGGGTCCTGCCCCAGCTTGGGGAGGGCTGGAGGGGATGGCAGGAGGGAAATGCAGCTGCTGCTCCCTCCGGCAGCCAGGAGAGGGGATTTTCCAGAGGGAATGCAGCTGGAGGGCAGGATCAGAGGGACCCCAGATCCAGGAGCTCCACAGGGATCCAGGAGCTCCAGAAGGATCCAGGAGCTCCAGAGTGATCCAGAATCCTGGGTCCAGGAGCTACAGAAGGATCCAGGATCCCAGATCCAGGAGCTCCAAAGGGATCCAGAATCCCAGATCCAGGATCTCCAGGGTGATCCAGGATCCAGGAGCTCCAGAATCCCAGATCCAGGATCTCCAGGGTGATCCAGGATCCAGGAGCTCCAGAGGGATCCAGAATCCCAGGTCCAGGAGCTCCACAGGCATCCAGGAGCTCCAGAGTGATCCAGGAGCTCCAGAGTGATCCAGGAGCTCCAGAGTGATCCAGGAGATCCACAGGGATCCAGGAGCTCCAGAGTGACCCAGGATCCCAGATCCAGGAGCTCCACAGGGATCCAGGAGATCCAGGGTGATCCAGGATCCCAGATCCAGGAGCTCCAGAGTGATCCAGGAGATCCACAGGGATCCAGGAGCTCCAGAGTGACCCAGGATCCCAGATCCAGGAGCTCCTGTACCTGGACTGGTCCCAGCCATCAGCCCTGACCCCAAGCCCGGCAGCACCGGGCTCTGAACAAACCTCTGGAGATGTTTGAATGGGTACGGGATGGGTTCAGCCCAGGGGACAAACAGGGGCTGGGAGATGCTCCTGGATGGAGAAAAAATTCCAGAGATCCCCTTGGATCTCGGCAGGGAAGGACAGGTGGGAATTGTCAGTCCAAACTCCAGAGGGGAGGAGTTGCACCTCAGCAGAGCCTCCAGCTCTGCAGGAAAATCTGGGCTTCAGGTTTCATTTTTGAACATCTGGTTTGATCTGCTCCACCACTAAACAACATCTGTATTGATTTGTTCCATCCCCAAACATCTGGTTTGATCAGCTCCATCCCCAGTGGCTGCTGTTCCTCACTGCTGCAGAAGCAGCATTTGCAAACCCTCAGCAAACCCTCCTCAAAACCAAAACTGAGCTGCAGAAGCTGTCCTGAAAAATTCAGTTGAGGAGGGTGATTTAACCCCAGACTCCGAGCTGGGTTTAGAAAGAATCATTATCTGGGTTTTTAAAAGGTCGTTATTTGGGGTTCTAAAGGGCTGTTAAAGCTTTCCCAGGACTGTCCCACACACTGAGAACGCAGAGCTCTGTTTATAAATATTTGTATTTCTATTTCTGAGAGCATCTGGATGGTCCTGCAGCCACGTGAGGGAAATTGGGAAGGAAAAGGCAGATAAAGAGTGGAGCAACCTCCCAGTCAAACCCTGCAGCCGTCAGAGATAAGGCAGCACTTCAGCATCTTGACCAGAACGTGAACAAATTCCCCTCTGGCTCAGTTTTGGTTTATTTCTGAGCCTCCAGAAAGCTCAGTGTCAACGAAACCCGAATATTTGAGAGGAGAAAAGGCTCAACCAAGAGCCCAGAAGGTTCCCTGTGCCAAGGCAAACAGGAGCCCGTGTCAGCCCCGCTTTCGGGGTCCCTCGGGATCAGGGAATGCTCCAAGCTGTGAGCTCCCCTTCGAGCCCTTCCCCTGCTCAAACCCAACCTCTGCAGCCGTTTCGGGGAGGACTGGAGCCAAAAGACACAACAATTTGGGGAAAGCGTGCGGAGGAGGGCCGGGGATGGCTCCCAGCCCTGCGGAGGTGTTAATGAGCCCAGCCTGCCAGAGCCCAGAGCTCTGCCAAAAATCCGGCCCTGCGAGACCTCGGCAGCAGCTGGCAGCGAGGGGGAGGTCACGGCAGAGCTCCAGGTCGCTTTAATTGGGACCAAGATTAGCCTGGGAGACGCTAATTGGGATTAGGGCAGATGCAGGAGGTGGAACTTGCCCTCCTGGCAAAGCCTTGCTGAGCCGGGCTGCCCCGGAGCCCAAAATGGGTTTGCTGCTGTTCCCCAGGAATTTGGGGACCCACAGGGATCATCCAGGGAAAGGAGAAAACTCACAGAGCTGGAGAAATCCTGGTGGGAGAGGATAAAGCGCTACAGAGGGAATTCTGGCTGGGAAAAAGGAATTCCAACAAGATTGTAGGAACACATTCCCCACCCACCCCCAGGACAAATGGCTCAGGGCGCTCAGGTGGAGCAGCATCGTGTCCCTTCTTTGCTGTGGGATCAGGAAGGGCTCCTCGAGGGAATGGCACTGGAAAACCACTCAGAAATCCCATTCCACGTGCAAAAATCCTGGGGGAATTCTGCACAAAACTGGAACAGCAGCAGCGCCTGAGCTCCCTCCAATCCCAAACACCAGGAGACAAAACTTCCACAGGGAGAAGGAACTTCATTCTTCTTCCCAGAATGAACCCTCCTGCTCCCACAGCCCCTTTCATCGAGGGGCTCAAGAAAATTCCCTCAGATTAAGCCAGGAAGAGCAGGATCCAGAGGGATTCCACAGCCATTATTTGGGATTCCCACAAAAAACGGCAGCCCAGGACCAAGGGGGAAACGTCAGGAACTCAGCAGAATCCAGGGAAAGCTCCAGCACTGAAATGGGCTCTCAGCTTTTGTCTGTCCCAAGGGGACAGGAGGGAAAAGTGGGAATTCTGGCATGGCAGAGCTCAGGCTGGGGCTGCCCCATCCCTGGAGGTGTCCAAGGCCAGGCTGGATGAGGCTTGGGGCACCCAGGGATGGTGGAGGGGGTTGAAGGAGATGGGAGTGAAGGGATTTAAAATCCCTTCCCACCCAAACCCTTCCATGGCTCTGATGCACAGCATCAGATCCTTTTCACTGGGATTTGAGGCCAGGCCTGGTTTAGAGAATTGATAACAGAGAAAATTGCCCGGCAGTTCATTCACTCCACAGAAATCCTGGGTTTATTCTTCCCTGAAATCCCCCTCCTCAGCTCCAAGACATTTTAGGGATGGTTCAGCCACAGTCTCACTCAAAACAGCATTTGAAGGGCACGGGCAGCACCAGGCAGAGCCAGCTGCACCCACACGTCGTGGGGCCACCAGAAACCACAAGAACACAACTTAACATGGAAAATATTCCAGCAAAACCACGGCTGTGCCGCTGGCAGCCAGGCTTGGACACGTTCTCC